CTCAGGCATGTATCCCAATAGCTGTAACACAAAGTCAAGTGCCGGGAAGTATGAGTACCACACAGTGAATTTCACAGACAGGCCTGGATTCCATTCCTGGTTCTGCCACTTAAACTAGCTGTGTAATGTGGGCATGTTCCTTAAATTCCCAGGGCCTCCATTTTCTCCTCTGTAAACCTAGATAAAACCACCTCCTTCTGCAGAGGACTACTGTGAGAATTTAATCAATGAGGCAATAGAGCATTTAGAGTAGGCATTCAATAAATGGTAGCTATTATCATTAATAGGCATGTTCATTTAAATAGTTTTTGAACTCTAATATAGACCTGGGAGTCTAGGCACAAAGAAGACTAACTCTCCATTGCTGATATGTAAGCCAAAAAATTATAATTGGCAGGATTCTTCCTCTTCCAGAGAGCAGATTCTCGGGGGTGCTGTGGGAGCACGGAGGGAAAGAATGGGCAAATCTGGCCTTGTACTGTAACACAGGGAGGCGGTTGGAAAAGTGTCTTAGAACAGGAAGATAAACCAGAAACTGAAATGAAGAACAGAGGAGAGAAATTTTAGGGACTCTGGCTGCAACGGTAGCCCCACTGCAGATAGGTAAGGGAGCAGAGCAAGAGATAACCAGAGAAGCAGGTGGGGGCCAGGCCCTGCCACACAGAAGGCCAAGCTAAGGAGTGTGCCCTCTACCCTGGATGCAGACCCAGGGGCAGCGAAGCAGCAATCGGAAGAGGACTCCCAACAGCCCAGGGACAAGAAGGGGAGGGAGACCAAAGTGGGAGGCCGGGGCAGAAGCCTCTGTTACAGGCAGTGGGCACGTATGTGGGAAGCAGTCAGGCCCTGGCACATGAGGAGCCAGGAGAGGCCAGAGCAGCAGCACTGCTGTGGAAGGAAAACGAACAGCAAGAAAGAGGTTCGTGCTGTCAGTCCAAGTGGAAGGAAGCGAGACAGGGTCTCAACGTGGATTCACTGGTAAAAAGTTTACTACGTAATTCAGCCCCAGATAAATTTATTTGTGGTCCTAACAATCCAGGCCTCTTTTGAATCTTGTTAGTCCTTTCCCCCGCGACCTTCTTCGTGTCAGCCAGTCGGTGCCCTTCCCCTCTCCTTGGGCCTCAAGCTCCACTCGGCCACAGCAGGTACACCACTAGTCTCCCCAGAAGGATCAGGTCAGAGTAAAGAATCCAAGGAAATGAAGTTCTCTGCCAATTCTGGTAGAGTATTAAGATAGAAAGGGGATGGTTGGGGAGTTATTAAATTACCACTCATTTCCTGATGTCTACTCAGTTAAGAATCTGGTTCCTGGTAACGTTAGAAGTTAGGCTTCAAAGGAGGAAACCTGCCTCTTAGTGTCTACCCGTAGAGCCTGGACCGCGGGGCCCGAACCTCTGCACGGGCCTGAGCTGCTCCTACAACTGCCTCCATAATTCACCTCCCTGTTAACCGGGCACTGCCTTACGTCTGGCATCTCTCCTACTATGGCCTTGAAGAAATGAAGTCCTGTGTTGCCAGTGTTAGTCTTCTCTCCCAAGACTATGGTCTCAAACTACCTGTCTTAATTCTGTCCTGCACTTAGTATCCCCATAAACACTTTTTCATGCACTTTGCTTTTCCTCTCTATACCACCACCAAGCATTTATACAAGTGGTTTCAAAACTCTGCGATCCTGGAGACACTGACTCACGTACAAGAAAGGCTCCCTGCAAGAATACTTGCAATCTTGCCCTTAGGAACTAAAATGTTTATGAGGCGCCTGGGTGGCTCATTTGGTTAAGCGTCCGACTTCAGCTCAAGTCATGATCTCATGGTTCAGTGGGTTTAGCTGGCATGGCCGACATCAGGCTCTCTGCTGTCAGCGCAGAGCCGGCTTCGGCTCTTCTGTCTCCCTCTCTCTCCCTCTCTCTCTCTCTCAAAAATAAACAAACATTGGGGCGCCTGGGTGGCTCAGTCGGTTAAGTGGCTCAGACTAGGGTTAAGTGTCCCCTGCCTGTGGGAAAACTATCCATGAAAACAAAGATTTCAAAAATAAGACAATTCAAGACCCAGCATCAAAACAGTCCTTTAAGGGGCACCTTGGTGGCTCAGTTGGTTAGGCGTCCGACTTCGACTCAGGTCATGATCTCATAGCTCGTGGGTTCGAGTCCCGCACTGAGCTCCGTGCTGACAGTTAGGAGCCTGGGGCCTGCTTCAGATTCTGTGTCTCCTTCTCTCTCTGTCCCTCCCTTGTTCATGCTCTGTCTCTCTCTCTCGAAAATAAATAAACATTAAAAAAAAATTTTTTTAAACATTAAAAAAAAGGAAGAAAAAAAGGAACTAAAATGTTTATGAAAGCCAGATGACTTTGAGCATAGGAATTTTTTCATAGTTCTTAGAATTCAGTAGGCTCCTTAGTTCCAATTTCACACCTGCACATTCAAGTCCTGGCCACAGACAGCATATTTCTCTATTTTTCTATTCAGGTATAAAGGGTTAGTGGCCTGGTGAGTTACCACCATTTGCTATCTTCTAATGCATATCCTTTGGGTATTAAACAGCAGTACTTTGGGGGCACCTGGGTGGCACTGTTAGTTAGGTGGAGTCAGACTCTGATTTTGGCTCAAGTTATGATCTCACAGATTGTGGGTTTGAGCCCTACAACAGGCTCTGCACTGCTGGTGCGGAGCCTACTTGGGTTTCTCTCTCTCTCCTTCTCTCCCTCCCCTGCTCATGCTCTTGCACGCACCCGCTCTCCCTCAAAATAAATAAAACATAAAAAAAAAAAAAATGTAGTACTTTGTTTGGTTTTCCCCGATTGTAATTATTTAGCAACCAACCCTGACCAAACTACCTTCTACATTAAAGTAAGTCTCAAATGTGAGATTTATCCTAATAATTACTTGAGGGGACTTGCTTAAAATAAATTAAAAGGCAGATCCTAGCCCCTTCCAGAAAGTTCACTTAAGAAGACCTCAGGTAAAGCCTAGGCATGCACATTCAACAAGCACTCCAGACATTCCGTGCAGGTGGCCCATAGACTAGATTTCTGAAACAAACTTCCTTAAAGCTTTCAGCTTCCTATAGGTAGTCATCTAGACTTATAAGTGCCTTCAAGCAGGATTCTCACTCCCTGTCTTCTATAGGACACTGTGACAGCTAGGTAGAGTTTGCTGCTGCTGCTGCTGTGTTTATTTAGGGGAAAGAGAGACAAAGGAAGAAAGAAAAGAGGAGAAAAGAAAAGCAGGCATTTTAAAGAGCTCCCTCTCCCCTATTTACCTTGCAATTAAAGTATAAAATCTTAACCTTTTTTTTTTTTTAAGGTGTGAACTTTAGGATCATAACACTACTCCTATAAAATCAATTCTCCACTAAATAAATGTTTTTCTCCACTCAAACCCAATGTTCCGTAAAGATTTTCAGAACCTACCACTTAACCCCAAGTTGGGACAGCAGTTGGCTGGAAATTCACAAACATTTCAAACCAGTGGTCCTTACTTTGTTGTGTCTTAAGACTCATTAGAAACTAAAAATAAATAATACAAAGTACAGTGGTAAGCTTACTTTAAAAACTGTGCTAAATAACTTTTTTTAATTTTAATTATGACTTGGTGGTATACTTTTCAACCTTGGCACCGCACCTCATTAAATGTCTGAAATTAACTATGATTAATGGATTGAAAACATCAGAACATACCAATAAAGTGGGTTCAAAGCTTATAAGAAGAGTGATTCTTTTTACTCCCAACGATGCTAAAACCAGAACCATTTGTAGAATTTATATAAAGGTCAAATACCCATGTAACTTTTTAAGTGCAAATTTATGACACAGGTGGAGAAAACAGAACAATCCAGACAGAAAGTAATATTAATAGACCTTTGTCTCATTTTACTTGCAAACTAAAGATCTGACTAATACTTTCAATCAAGCTAAAAGCCTTTTTATCCTTTAATTATTTTCCATGAATTTTCCATTTGTCTTTGAAGTCTATCTGTGTTTCCTATTTCATCACCCATTCTTCAAAAATGGTAAACAAGATTCTTTTAGAAGAAAAGGTAGTAAATAAAAATGCAAATTAATTGTTAATATTCTTCCTAAATGTGCAGGCATCTAAGTAGACTTTTTACATTTAACCTGAGGCCTCAGGTTTACTTCTAAGAAGGCAATGTTCAAGCACGAGTTCCATTTCTTAAGAACTATACGGATACAAACAGACAAGGACAAAAAGATAATCAGCAAAACTTAAAGCAGACAGATGTATCGAGGTGATGAGATTATGAGACTTTCTAACCGGGTAACCAACTACACTCAATGGAGAACATCACGCACGACGGGTATTCCTCTACAACATGCACGGGGACCACAGCCATGACCGACCCACCCACCCCACGGTGCGGGGTCCTAAGGGAGGACTGCCACCGCGCCTGCCACTGGTCAAAGGAAAGATTTTTCTCCCTTTCTTCCCTCCACCCAATAGTTAACTCTGGGCTACAAGAGATACCAGAAGGGAAATGAACTCACTCCAGGAGCTTGCAGGTTACTCTCCCCAGAGCCTGGGGCTTCTGGGTTTCCCTCCCAGTGAATTAAAGAGAAAGAGGATAGGGACCGACGAAGATATGCGTTTCCTGATCCCCTTTGCTCAGTACTTCTCCAAACAGCTCACTTTCAGCAGTTTACACTGCTGCTAAAATTTAAGTTATTTAGATTGATTAGAAGGGGCAAAGGCAGGGAAAGTCGGGAAGGAAAATTTTTCTGAACGCGTATTTTAGAAGACGAAAAGTTACATATTCCCTTGCAAGCTCCCCAGTTCTGAATTTACCCGCCGTCTCATCAACTTCCATTAACACGTGAGCTGGCCCCTACTGTTTCTTTGTCGTTTTTAAGGACGCGCTCCGTTTGGAGGTTCGTTCACACATCCACCCTGGCCCCGAAAGGAGGGCCGCGAGCACGGTGGGCTCCAGGAGCTCCCTCCCGGGACCGGCGGGTAGAGAACGTTAATGTCCCCCGCGCCCCCCCGCCCTACCTTCAGGGTTGGACCATGCCTCCTATCTTTCGCCGCTTCACAAACACCACCGGCACGTCGGTTTCCGAGGTCAGCTCCGAGAGCGCTCTCTCCAGGCCCCTGGCGTCCTCTGCGGCACAAAAGCAGGGAGGGGCGCGGGTCAGTCTCGCCGCCCCGGGCCGCGGCGGGAAGTGCACGGCGGGGGCGGGGCTTCCGCGTCCCCGACCGCGCCGCCCCCTGCCTCCGCCCGGGGCCCGGGCCCCTCTCCCCGCACACCTGCGCGCGCCGGCCGCAGGGTCCGCGGCCGGCTTCCGCACCCGAGGTCCCGCCGCGCTCAAATCCTGGCGGCCTCGCCGGACCAGACACCCCGAATCCCGGTAAATCCCCACTGCAGAGAAGCCTCGCAAAGGAGGCTTAAGACAGTCATCTCCACTTCTATAAAACGCCTCCCAATTTAATCTGCCTTTGAACTCTGCATTTATATAGAATGCCAAAAGCCAACTTCCCAGGTTTCTTTGAAATTTGAAACCACGAGGCAAAATTAGGAACACTCTGCCCTCTTAGGGTGCTTTCTTTCATTTCAGAACCTTGAAGCCACACAGCAACACCCTGCTTGTCAGACCGGGAGCTAATGGCCCAATTTTACAAACGGGTGAACTCAGGTAGGCAGTGAGTCAATGATAGAATTAAAAATAGACTCCAGTTACTCTAACATCATCCGGCCCATTCATGACACAAAACTCACACCAACTCAGAAGCGCTGCTGCTTTGACAACAACAATGGCAGCTAGCACTTCTGCGATGCTTTGCACATTACCAACACTCAATCTTCACAACTACTCTTTGCAAGTAGGTCCCGTCCGGCCCGTCTCACCCACAGGCAGAGCCGGCACGGAAAAGCTAACGTGCCCGAGTTCAAAGCAGCTAGGTCGTCAGAGCAGAGCCAGGGTTCAAACCCAGGCAGTGCAGTGCACGCCTGTAACCCTGTACGCCCGATACAGCGAGACCAGCCCGGGGTCCCACTCGCAGCTGTCGCGTTGAAGAGCCTGGGGCAAGTCACGTGATTCTGAGCCTCGGTTTCCCCAACTGTAAATAGGGAGGTACGGACATTTTGCCAACTCGGGATTTCCGGGGATTAAATGGTGCGACAATTTCTTAAGAGACATCTTTATTATACTCCTTTAGTGCTGTGGAGGATCTGTCGATCTATGCGTCACATTGTCATCTACATTCCGACACTCGTACAGTAGGAAACGATACAAACACCCATTTTCTCACGTTTCTGCACACTGTCTCTACAGAGAGCGAGCGGAAGGAAGCCACCAGCCGACAAGGGCCTGCCGGTCTCTCCCCAGCCCAGGCTCGGCTTCCACCGACCCACGCGACACAATGAACGCGGCCCGCAAGAACACCGCCTTACACCAAGCTTCACCCCCTACTCAGACACACCTTAAAACATCCCTTTCCGGGGTTCGAAGCGCACCCGACAGACGGCTGCCCACGTCCCCAGCCTCGCAGCCCCAGAGGCTCGCAGCCCTACCCGGGTTTCTGGGTCCCCACCGCTTACGTGAAGGGGAGCGCCGGGCCACCGGGCTCTTCTGGAGGGCGGCCCCCCACCTTCCGCTCGGAGGCACTGCGGAGACACTGCGAGGGACTGCTGCGAACCGAGGGGAAGGGTGGAGGGCTCCCCGCCGCCACGAGAAGCCACGCCCTGCTCGGAGCGGGCGGCCGGGCCGCCAGAGTCAGAATGACAAAGCAGAAATCCACTCCGGTACAGCGCTGGCGACTACGCCAACGGGCTTAGCGAAGCGAGACCTCCTAATTGGGTGACACCACATCCTCTTCCTGCTCAGAGCGCCCCCAACCCAAGGAAAGAGCAAAAACAACGTAAGAATGTTTGGAACCAGAACGCAGAGACAAGTGTGTTTTAGTTAAGCAAAACTGGACCGTGCCCTAAGGCAGTGACTCGGGAACTTTGCTGCCCATTGTGACCACGAGAGGATCTTGAAGAACACCGACGCCTCACTCCCACCCCCAGACATTCTGGGTGAATGGGTATTAGGTGTGACCTGGGCGGAAATCCGAGGGGTTTTTGTTTTTGTTTTTAACTCCCTGGGTGATTCTAGTGAACTGCAAAGTTTGGGACCCTTTGCCCTAGCGTAATGGACTTGTCAGTCTAGCAGTACTCTAAAGGAAATTACCAGGCTTTTAAAAGAAACATCTAGTCCATTCTGACTAATCCTGAAAAGTGACAAATTCTCACCAACACATAACTTCCCCTTACGTCGTCCTTCCTCCTTAACCCACTCAGGTTTTGGGTTGTCACGTTTGTTTTAGGGAAAACAGCATATTTAACTCCAGTCATGCCAAGCCACCTGCAGCTGCCCAAGTGAGCCATGCTCTCTCATACTTCCTGCTCTTACTCCTATTCTTAGCACCTTGGATCAGTAGGGAAGTAGGAATATTTGCTGAATAAATAAATGAATGAATGAATGTCTCTCCCACCGCTTTGGATATTGGCCAACTGAAGCACACAGGGGTGAAAGGGTTGTTGGTTTTTGAAGGCTGCGAGAAACCACACCGTCTCTGAGGTGGCAGGCAACCACAGTTTGCTCCTTTGAGTTCATTCCAAGGCACGGTTGGAGTCTTGGTGAACACACACGCACTTGTGCAAACACACATACACACACTCACGACGCACATGAATGGAGGTACTCTCCTTGCATGGTAGTTGTTTGCCTAAGTGTGTGCCTCACCTGTTCTGGGGTCCTTAGAACAGAGTATGGATCTAGCACAGGTGTCCAGGAAACAAGAGGCAAAGGAGAGGGAAAGAAGCCAGGACTCCCAGGTGGAAAACAACATTTCCTCCTGGCTGCTGTGCCCACCTCTGTTAACTGTCTTATATGCCTTAGCTCAGTTAATCGACACGATAATGTCCCATGAACCAGGCACATAAACTCCTCATTCCTGTGATGTGTAGAACCTACAGCTTCTTTCAAAGGTCAAGATAGAGATGGACTTTAAAATCATTTCACTTGAAATAATGTACTAAACGCAAGCGATAAGGATTGATTTTTATGATCCTTATATGACAGGTCAGCGTTGCCATAGTTAGTATCTTCTAACAGCATACCAGAGAAGGCTAGATAAGGCATTTTAACTTCACACTGTTCTTAAGTGAGCAAATTATAGCACAAATACGTAGAGTAGCTCCATGTAGTTGTTTTTTTTTTTTTTAAGTTAAACAAATTGCCACTTAAAAAAAAAAAAAAACCTTCATGTTTCTTCCAAACCTTTCTTGCTGCAATTAAGGGGCCAGATGCCTTACCCTTGTCACAAAATACAGAGAACTCCAACTCCTTAGTTATATTTAGTTTCCGGGCAGTGTAAGAAGTGCCTCATCTCCCACCATTTCTCATCGCGCAGCATTTGTTTCAGACATATGTCTTACATCTCTTGACTGAGCTCATGTTATTCCCCTGCCTAAAATAATCTACCCTCCCTAAGGCCGATTCCTTCAAAGCTCATCTGAAATGTCATCTCCTCTGGGAGGGCTTCCCTGATTCCCACCCAGTGTTGATAGCTCTGTCCCTATTCTGAGATCCCAAATACCTAAAAAATCATTATAAATCATGTATATCCACGAGGGCTTTAGGAAGGCAAACCCTTGTTTGATTTATCTTGTCTTCCCAGAACCTCCAGAACCTGCTACATATAGTAAGTACTCAGAAAATGCTGGAAAAGACCCTCTCCATTCCTGAACTGTCATCTAAGCACACTATAAACAGATCTATTAGGGGTATTAGATCAAGGGTCCTATTGCACTAAACTATTGTTCCTCCTACAATAAGTTTCTCACACACACACCACCACATTGAGCTAGAACAATCTTTCTGACACTCAACTCTTCTCCGCTCAAACCTTGTCACTCTATAGGACCCTCAAAATAAAGTCCAGACTCCTCGATTGTACTGACTTGGCAAGGCCCACCCTTGTTAAACCCAGCTGTCCACATATTCTGTACCCTACTTACATAGCAAAACACCACTGGAGAAAACAGAACTTAAAAGTGATTTCACTTTAAGGTCAAGACCACAAACTTCAATGTGTCCCCAAAGCTTCCCAGCAGTCCTTTACATCTCTGGTATACTTGTTTTCCTAGTTTCCCAAGTAAATATTTCATGCTTCTTCCCCTTTTGTCAAACCTCTAATATACCTACACCTTGCCGTTAACTCATGACTTGCTTGCTTTCTTCTTTAAGAAAACAGAATCAGTCAGAACTCAACCACCAAGCTGCCATACTCCCTGCCTTCACCCTCATTTAATGAAGCGTACTCCACTTGTGTACAGATTCTCATCTCTTCTTGCCTTCTCAATCTTCAATAACTTCATTCCTGAAATTAGCCTCCCTCTCTGGCATCATCAGTTTCTTCTTCTCTACCCGGTAATTCCCCACATCATACACATGGTAGTTTTCACATTTAAAAAAAAAGTCTCCCATGATCCCCTGGACCCAACCATCATAGTTACTACCCCATTTCATTGTTCCCCTTCACAGGGGGGAAAAAAAACAGCTTTGAAAGAATTCTTTGTACCCTGAAGAAGAAGAAAGTAGGGTAGGGAGGTCAAGAAAGATCTAAGAATATGGCACTTGAGCTGAGACCAGAATGAAAGGAGGGAGCAAGATTTATGAAGGGGGAAATCTTTCTAAGCAGAGGAACAGGAAGTACTAGGGGGCCCTGGCTTGCTCAGTGGGTGAAGCATGGGACTCAATCTCAGGTTGTAAATTCAAGCCCCAATGTTGGGCGTAGAGAGTTCTTAAAAATAAGAATCTTTTAAAAAGGAGGAGGAGGGGGAGGAAGAAGAAGAGAAGGAAGAGAAGAAGAGGAGAAGGAGGAGAAGGAGGAGAAGAAGCAAACAAGAAGTACTAAAGCCCTAAGCTGGACGCCTGCTTGACTTGTCCGAAGAACTGTGAAGCAAGCAGTGTGTCTAAAGCTCAGTGAACAAGGAAGAAAGTGGTAGGTAGTGAAGCCAGAGGCGTAGCCAGAGGTCAGAACCCAAAGGCCTTAGGACTTTGGATCTCGTTGTAAATGTAATAAGAAGCCAAAGTGTCACAAGCAAGGAGATGGAAATCAGCTAGTTTGTATCTTAGAAGGATTGCTCTGCTGTGTGTGGTATCGACTAGGGTGGGTAGGGACTTAGGAGAAACACAGACCAGCTGGGAGGTTGCTGTTGTGGTCCGAGCCAGAGACAATGAAGGCTTGGATTAGGAGGTGAGAAGAGATATTTGAAAGTAAAGCTCATAAATGTTGCAGGTGGGTGGAATAAGGAAGGTAAAAGAAGGAGAACAATCGATGATGACTAAGGAGTTTTAGCCTTCGCAACTGGGTGAATGGGGGCTCTGTGGAATGGAAAGGGGGAACACCCAGGGAGGGGGAGGAAAGGTAGGAGTGGGGCAGGTGGAAAGCAGTAGTTCGGGACAGATCCCACACTGGTTTGAGAGACCTGTTGTCATCTGAATGGAGATGCTCAGTATGCAAATCTGGAGTTCACGGGAGAAGTCAGAGCAAGAAATAAGAATCTCGGAGTCAAATATAAAAGACATTTAATGCCGTATATGTTAGTTCTCCAGAGAAACGGGACCAATAGAATATATAAATAGAGAGACAGAGAGAAACAAACTGGCTCTCAGGATTGTGGGGACTAGCAAGTCCTAAACCTACTGGACAGGCCAACAGGCTGGGAAGGCCAGTGGTCCTAATGTTGCAGTGTTGAGTCCAAAGGCAATCTCACTTCCTTTCTCTGCAGGAGGCCTCGGTCTTTTCTCTGACCTTCTCTGAAGGTCTTTTCCATTCAACTGATTGGATGAAGCCCACTCATGTTATGAAGGATAATCTGCTTCACTCAAAGTCTACTGTTTTCAGAGTTAATCACATCAGAGAGTACGTTCACAGCAACCGTCTACACTGGTGTTTGGTCAAACGACGGGGCACCATAAAATTAACCTTCACAGGTGGGACAAGATGAAGTTACCCAGGGAGTTAATATATTTAAGGAAATGAAGATGGTCCAGGAACGCAAAGTGCAAAGGAGGAGAAGGGGCCAGCAAAGGAGCCTGAGAAGAAACTGGAGGGAGGTGGGAGAGAAACCAAGAGAATGTGGTGTCTCAGAGGCCAGTGAAGAAATGCTCCCCGAAGGAGGAAGACCAACTAGATGAGAAATAACGACAAGATACAAACCGAGTCATGGAAGTCAGTTGTTGTTGATTTTTATGAAAACGATGGAGGAAACAAAGCCTAATTAGAGGACGCTCAACCAGAAACAGAAAAAAGGACACGAAGGTAGTGAGGACTGCCAACTCTTTGAAGGAGTTTTGGTATAAAAACACAAAAGAGGGAAAGTAGCTGAAGAGCAACATAGGATCAAGGAGGGTGTTTTGTTTAGTTTTATCTAAGAAGGAAATTATCATAGCACGTTTTTATGCTGAGAAACCAATCTAGTAGAGCGAAATTTGGCAATTTTCAAAGAGGAAAGGAGCAAGAGGAGGTCATGACAGAGGCAAAGTCCTGTGAATGTGCATCCATTGCACAGCGTCGACTTCAGTCAAACCCAGGCTCGATCAGTGACTAGACTGTCCAGTTACTCCGCCTCTCTTAGGCTTCCTTATCCTCTTTCTACAAGAC